TTGTCTTCTCTGGGTGACGGTATGTTTGTTGCTGCTGTGCCCTGATGGGAAGACGGGCCCTTAGGGTTTGTGCCTTTGCTTCATATGCCTGTTTTTAGTTAAGTTTTATCACTCTACATGCTCTCACTGCAGTTAATTGTTGCACTAATTTCCTGTGTGTACATAAATTGGTTGATAGAGCTGTATTGGTGCTGAGAGCATGCCAACTCATTTGTGTACCTCTGGTTTGGTTTTCTTAACATCTGACCGAAAGATTAACATTGGAATCGCAGTGATCTGCAGCATTTTAAATGGTCAATTGTTTATGTGGTTAATAAAAAAAAAAAAAAAGGAAAACTCAATTAAGTTGATTTGATAACACTATTTGTTACATTTGAGGAGGTGAATTTGAGTTGTTTAGTTATTATTGACCCAAACATCGCTCGTTACCTCAAAAGTACATCGTAACTGACTGAATTTTATTGTCTTTTTCCTTTATACATTGCCTATGTCACTTCGGTTTTCGGTTAAAGAATGTTTTGTAGTGTTTAATGTGTTTTTGTTTTGTATTTTCAAGAAAGACCAAAAATAAATACAATAATAAAGAGGAGTTTTCTGGTTTTATTTTTGATATTTCTGGTTCCAACAGTCACAGAAAACCATTTTCAAATGGCTTTTTTCAATGTTAATAACAAATATGTCTCAAAATTAAGAATTTAAAAAATCTAGTAATCATAAATGACTGGAGAGGTCACGGAACTTGAGATAATTGTTGTAAATGCAAGAAATTACAAAAACACATGCCACATTGTCTGATTTCAAAGTTTTATAGGCTTAAATATATGTAATTACATATTATTGATTACCTTTCTGATTTAATTTTCATAATTACAGTGGCAACAAAATAAGTTCTATTCCAACTTCAATCACTGGATGTCGCCATTAGTCCAGGCCGAATAATTCCTTTGACGTTCTACCCATAGATATTGTTGTTTATTAAGACAACATGAAATTTACCAGTTGAAATAACAGTTTACACTCCTAAAATCTTAGTACATGTTAATATAGTTTTCATACTGCGCGCGAGTCGTTTGCTTTGAAACACATTTAAGCACTCGCTCGCGCTCATTAGTAAACTGACCGTTACAAATCTGACCGCTCTCCTCAGCGTGTACTCGACGACTTTAAGCTAACGTTACTCGTTCAAATTACTGTTTAAACACCTTTTCTCTCAAAAAAAAACAAGGTAAGAAACTGGTTAAACCGACAATATTAGATGCCACATTCAACGAATACGTTAACTTTGCTGTCCTTTGAGTACTTTTAAAGCATTTAGATCACATCTAATATTTGTTGTGAGAGCTAATAATAGTATTGGAAAACAATATTCCAACACAATTTGATTTGAAACCTAACGTTAGCCACTTTAATCATTAAATATATACTCCTCACACCTTAAAATGTACGAAATCTTTAGATTATTTAAACATTTATCAATATATAGCTCAACTGATTGGCAGCTTAATATAACGTTAGGCTAAATCTCGGTTTTTATAATACATTATATGCATAATAATACACAATTTACATATTATTATTATTAAAACGAGTGTATGACAGAGATGTATTATTATTCTTATTTATTTATTTTCTTTAGTATAAAGCAGTATGGATGCAGGTGATGCAAGTCAACCAATCACTCGGTCTGCAGAATATGAACAGGTAAAGTTTACAGAAAAAGCTACAGTTTACATGTCACTGTCTTTACTGCTAATATTTATGAGATGTTAGTAGAAAAACTGGTAATTCTGGGTCAGAAACATACTGCCTCTGGTCACAGGGTTTCCCTTTAAAACTCAATTGATCATTTATAGTTGTACACAGGATCTCTGAACAGCTTCAGTGATTCGCACAATTATGTGGGGCCTCTGGGTGACTGAGTAAGACAGTGTGGGTTCAAACGTGTGTGATCTGGTCCCGCGTGTATGGTGGCAGGCGGAAAAAAAGCGTAGGAATGACCTTGTGTGCTTCGGAACATCGTGTGTGTGATCTAAACCTCACAGATTACTATAGGAATTCATTGCAAGATCATAATAAGGTCTTCCTTGTATATGTAACCCTATGTAGCTGGTGGGTATAGGGATTCAGAAAAGAGCTGTATTGAGGGAACAGTTCATTAAAAAGAAAATAGCTGAAAATGTACTCACTCTCTGGCCATCCAACAGTTTGTTCATCAGAACAGATATGGAGAAATTTAGCATTACATCACTTGCTACAGTGAATGGATGCAGCTTTTCATTTCACAAGACATCAGTTGATTGACTGTAGTCATGTGGATTATTGTGATGTTTTTATAAGCTGTTTGAACTCTCATTCTGACGGCACCCATTCACTGCAGAGGATCCATTGGTAAGCAAATTATGTAATGCTAAATTTCTCCAAACACATTTACATCTTGGATGGCCTGAGGATGAGTCCATTTTCAGCAAATCTTCATTTTTTGGTGAACTATTCCCTTAATCAAAACCTGTCTTTTGATTTTTTTTCTCAGGCACCATCAGTAATTTGCAAAGGGGAGAACACAGGTGGGGATCTGCCAGACTCTTCAACCAGTACACATCTTGGTGACTCTCTAAATGATGAAAATGCAAAACAGAAGTTGGATGTTGAGACATCCGCAAGAAATATTTTCAACAATACCAATGCAGGCCATTTCAGTGAGATGTTTCAAAGGCATATTTCACATGTACAGTGGCCCCAAAATCTATTCAGCCACTTATGGACTCTTAAGTCACGCCTAAAAATGTATGAATGCCATTGCATTTTATGATTTTGAATCAGCTGGTTATGATTTTTAAAGCAAGTTTGCCTTGAGTTTCACTAATGTTTGTGTTCAAATACTTTTTGTGTAATTTTGAACAATATATCTATTATTTTATCTTTTCAAAAATCAAGCAAACCACTTTTTGTGAAATGTTTTGTTTAAAAAGTGCTCTGTCTTTCCTTAACACATTTTGAGGCCACTGTAGGTGAAACCAAACTTTATAAACATTATTGACAAATCAAAATATGATGTGCACAGGCTTGTCCTCATGTGAATTTTGTTTTGTTATTCTGAAGTGTCTGTCAACCAGAGCGGCGGTGCCCAGTTTATCCCCTGCCAGCAGAGATATGAAACCTTCACTTCCTGGCCTGGGGCTCCCATAATGCAGTATGCTGTCCACTCCAGCAATGGCACTTACATTGTGTCTGAAAATAAGGTCCAAGGTAATGACGTCACCATTTGAGTCATTCATTTGGATTATACTCTCATTTGATATAATACCATATAAAAGTAAATACTAAAGTTTTTTTTAATCCACATGTTAAATAAACATTAAACGAACACATAGACGTAAAAATAAACACACGGATGATTCTCATTAGAACATGTTCACTTTTTGCCCCAAAATAAGAAATTAGGACCATTAGGATTATGTTTGTTATGTTTGCATTTGACCTTGTTTTAATAATAATTAAAGGCAGAGTAAGTGATTTCTGGTAGCCAATGTTGATATTTGAAATCACCAAAACAAACACGCCCCTAAATTTCAAATGGTTTTCAACGGTCGTTTGACCTCTTTCTCGCGTCCAGTGTAGGCAGACTTTAGTTGTTGTAGACACGGTGTTACTCACCTATTGAGAAGAAACAAAGCAACCTCGGCGTCCGATCGCAGGCCTCCGCTCCTTGAGTTCTCTCCAGCGCTGGAAAGCTGATCCGATATTTACACGGGTCCTACTTCTTGCCTTATCGTTCCGCAGACGTTTTCCTCTTTTGTTTTTTATCCGCCATCTCTATCTTTCTGTCGCTCGGCTCGGCTAATGTCCGTCCCATGCACTGAACGCGCTCTCCTCCACATCACGAGTAGACACGCCCCTTATTGCTGATTGGCTACAAGTTTCTTTTGCGATTCGGCCCGAATCAGTTTTCTAAAGTGTTTTTGAAAAATCACTTACTCTGCCTTTAAGTAGTAATGAGATTTTTGTTCTTTGCAGTAAAAGAATTCTGGTGAAGAAAATGTGCAAAATGCATGAAATGGCAGTTTAAATAAAAAAAAATCGTAATGTTCCTAAAAATAGTCTTCATTAATTTTTATATACACTACCTTTCAAAAATTTCGACTCAATAAAATTTTTTATGTTTTAGAAAGAAGCTTATGCACACCAAGGATGCATTTATTTCATGTAAAATACAGTAAAAACAGTAATAATGTAATAATACATTTTAATTATTATTAATTTAAATTATTTAAAATAACTTTTCTATTTGAATATATTCTAAAATGTAATTTATTTTTGTGATGGCAAAGGTCAATTTTCAGCATCATTACTCAAGTTTTCAGTGTCACATGATCCTTCAGAATTCATTCTAATATGCTGATTTGCTGCTCAAGAAACATTTCTTCTTAATATTAATGTTGGAAACAGCTGTGCCACATAATATTTTTGTGGAAACTGTGATACATTTTTTTTCAGGATTCTTTGATGAAAAAAATTTATTAGTATATAAAAAATGTAATAAAAAAAACAAAAAACAATTTTGAATGGTAGTGTAATTTCTTTCTATTTATTTTTGAGTTAAAAGTGATCCGCATATGTTCCTGACAGTCTCATGCAATTCACAGCCTACCAGGAAACCCATTTGTTCATAAATTTAAAGAAAAACAACATCACATGACATTATACATAATGCATCTTCATTTAGTTGAAATCATAACTGAAAAGAAAATCTAAGTCCTATACATATGAAGCTTTTAAGCATATAAACTCCCTTCTGTTGTCTGCTTCGGTCCGGCTCACAGTCTGATGTGTGAATGACAGCAGAGGGAGGTGGGGAAAAGGAGGGCTATGGCAAAACGGCTTGCGATAAGGGCTGGCTCCGCTAGTCTCTGCCTTACTGACATCAGGAGGCTAATGATGTCATAGTGATGTCAATGGCCTTGACAGTGACTGCACACTTAGCTTGTGGTTTGGGCAGCATTGCATGCTGACAGCAGAGAGAGACAGACAAGCTTTCAGCTCACTATATGGCTGTGACTGGAGATGAGACAGAATCAGGTACATCCGCTGTTTTCTGTGGTTCTTACGTGGTTTTCAGCTTGTTTAACATTGGAAACTTGCTTTAAAGATTGCGTTTTAAATAAGTTAACTTTGGTTGTTTGTCCCTGTGGATTTGATTAGGTAATTTTAAATTTGATTTGTCAGAGAATATGAACGGAGAAACAACATTTCAAATGCTCAAACAAAACTTTTAAGTTTTGGTAGAGACACAGAGATTGTACTGAGAAAATTATATACAATTTGTATTGAATCTGTTCTCTCATTATATTCTTGCGATGAATCATCTCTGTAGCATGCAACAGGCTGAAAGAATGAAATGTTCATATTTTTTTGCTTCCTGTTGAGTTCCTCTGTAGCTCTCACTCGTTTCTTTCAGCACCTCTGTCGCTTTCTCTCTCTGAAATGTGTGAATGCGCTGCCCACTCACAGTGCAGCTGACGTCATGTTGTTTCCTGGAATTGGACACTAGCAGGGAAATGTAAATGCTGAACAGCAAATAAGATGTACACTGACGTCAGTTCAGAGTCATGCTGTGATTAAAGGCATCTCCTTTTGCGAGAGCAAGACTACCAGATTAATCATCTCTTATAATGCGCTGCAGTCTCCACGGAGACAAAGAGAATCAGACACATGTAAAAAAAAATTATGTTTTCATTGTTCATAAGCTTTGTAAAATGATTTCACTTGTTTCAATGAAGAGAGATCAAAAAGTAAGAACTTTTATTTGTTATTATGTAACAGTTTTGTAACTGTGACCACATAGTTTGTGGCTACTGGGGGAAATTGAATCACTTTGTTTTCATAAGAGCATTTCACCCTGCACAAATATGTTGGAGCTCTTGTTGCTTTGCAATCCAGTTTATAACCACACCACGAATAGGTCTGAGAATGTGACATACTCAGAGGTCACACAATGTGTTTGCTGATCTCCAGTGGGTATTAATTCACCGCCTTTGGTCCTTGCAGACATTTGATTCAGTTGATCTTTAGGCCTGTTTAGTAACATGGTGATATTCATGAACTTATGACATCAGACTTCAGAATGAACTCTGTCAGTATAATCTTTTGTAATCTGTTTATTTTTATTTCTGTTTATATTATATTCATGCATGTAATGCATTCATGCAATGTTATCTCAGATTAACCTTTCTGATTATGTTTGCTGACTCTCAACCACAACTACATCTAAATGTCACCACTACTTTGCTTGTAAAGTGTGCAATTGTGTTGTTATGTGGTGGATTTGAACAAACTGGCCAACTCATTTCAGTTCAGATTATAATTTTCCAAAAATTCAGTTTAACAGCAGTGTTAGTATGTTTCAGAAAAGCAATAAGCAAAAAACTTTTATATTATGTTCATATTGGGGCTCAGTCCAAAACACCTGGGTGTTTCATCTCTGTCATTCATCTCTGCCTCACGTACTTGACATGTTTATTGGAAACTGCCAGGGTTCTCACTCATCCTCGAAAATCTGGAATTTTGTAGTGCATGTTATAGGAAATAGGAGAATTACTTTCAGTAAATGTCCTGAAAAATATTGAAAAATACTTGTTGTAGTATAATGTTAACTCTACTTTCTTTCTTTCTTTCTCTTTTAGTTAGTTACTAGTGCAGTAAGTAATAACTCACTCAATATATTGGCAGCAAAAAGCTTTTGGACACTTCTTTTTGTGAAATGTATTGTTTGCTATCATAGCATCGCTATAACGCCCAGAACAGCCATAACAATTTCCACAATATCAGCTTCCTCTAAAAGTCACTGATTAAATATTGCAGCTGTGGGGCTCAACAATAAAGACGACCTGGGATCAATGTGAGAGAGTTTTGTGCTAGTTGGTTGAACAGTTTTATTATTTTGTAAAGAACACTTACAAGTTTATTGAAAATGATATATATAAAAAAATAAAAAATAATTAGCCCTGACTGGGCCAGCAGAAAAATCCTTGTTACCTGTGATGGAAACACAAAATATGCAGTAAATGTTCTGTAAAATAATGTCTTTGAAAAGATCTCTGTAAATGAATGTGTTGTGTTTTTGCAGCCACCACTGGAGGTATGTCTGCATATCAGATTCCCTCTCCCGTATCTGGCCTTTCCCAGGCGATGGACGGCTCACCCGGTTCTCTGCCCAGCCCTCAGCAGCTGACTGAGGAAGCATCATGCAAGAGGGAACTCCGACTTATGAAAAACAGGTAATGCCCAGCCGCACTTCCCCATTCCAGAATTACCACTGCATTCTGTAGCCTAAGAGCATGAAATCATTGTAACAGCTCATTTCAGTCTGTCTTGGCATGTTGCTTGGTCTTCCCCTCACTTCTTTCGCCACCTGAGGTCTCACATGTTCTTCAGTTGCATCCATTCGTCTGCTTTCAACTTCTGATGCAGTCAAAGGCTTGTATTCTTTGCTTGTAGCCTATCACTGCGTCATGCTTGAGCATGAAAGTTAAGTCTCAGTGTGTGGAGCATGTTCTAAAAGCTTTCTTTGTTTCATGACGATGCTTCGAATGGAAAAACCAAGCTTGTGGAATCATTTGCGTTGTACATGCAACTAAAAAATCACTCATTCACAGCTCAAGTTCTCCTGTTTTGGACACGATGATGCTCTGAAGTTCTGACTTGCTTGAAGTGGGACCTGTAAACACAATGTAAGATTTACAGTATTAACACTCACAGAGCTTCTCTGTTGTTGCTTCCAGGGAAGCTGCCCGGGAATGTCGCCGGAAGAAGAAAGAATATGTCAAATGTCTCGAGAACCGAGTTGCCGTGCTTGAAAAACAAAACAAGACGCTTATTGAAGAACTCAAGGCTCTTAAAGACCTATACTGTCACAAAACCGAATAACAACAGTCCATTGCAAATCAAAACACGAAAGACTATACCGTTTATAGAGCAAACGCGCTTTACACGTAATATCTAGCCACCTCTCGTAATAATCGGAAAAGGTGCATGGTCTGTGACGTCCCATGTGCAAAAGGTGGTGATGTGTGCATGTGTGTACGCTGGAGGCCCAAGTGCTCCAGAGCCAGTCAATGTGGTGTGTTGCCCGTGTTGCTTGTGCTTTTTGCAGGACGGCGGCCAAAGAGTACAGACGCAGGAAGAAGGACTATGTGCGGAGCTTAGAGATGCGCATGGCCATCATTGAAAACCAGAAGCAGAAAATGACAGAAGAGCTGGACAGTCTAAGGCAAATGTGCACTGGAAAATCCAATTCATTTTAATGGCACAATAGACTGCGGCCATCTGTTTTGATTCTGTTTTACTGTAAAATATTGTTGTCATATGTGTGTTTTATATCTTCTGTGAAAATTGAACAGTAGACCAGCACTGCCTATGCTCATTAGGCTTTTTTGAAGATTTTATATTGACAATTGGATTTAATATTTCAAATATTTGCTGTCAGACTATCTACTTTAAGAGAAATATTTAATTGAATATCAAAGGACTGCTTATATGAGTCATTCACAAACACACCAGCTCCAAAACTGATATGAACATAGCTACTGTTTATACTTACTGTAATAAATATAGGATAAACAGATATGTGTTGTATATACAAACAGTGTTTTTGTATTTATGGCATATTAATTGTAACTAAATATACTAAATCGTATATTAGATAATTGTTTGTTACAAATATATTCTTGAATCCTTCCTGGTGGTTTTTCAAGTGGCACAGTCCTTCAGTGTCCATTGAGACTATCAGCACAGTTTCATGTTTATCTTTAGCTTCTGTTTAAATAAATTTATCTAGCTCTCCATTTGATGGCGTTTTGTTGTTGTTGCTTTTTATGTTGAGAGATTTATGTTAGGAAATGTTTCACAGTGCAGTTATTAATCCCTGTGAGTTAATTTTTTGTAATACAGAATTACTTTTAAATGTTCGCTCTGTATTTCATGCTCACTTTTAAGACATTTCGACTAATAGAATAACGTCAATTAGTTGATTCTGACTGAACATAGCTAAATATATGTATATACTCTTTAATTATATTGATCGCTTTAGCATTTTAGCACATGAAATTGTGTATTTTGATTTCTTACTCAAGAGGCACAAAGCAAGTCCGGTTATTAAAACATTTAAAAATGGTTTAGATTAACCATATGTTCATTTAAGTAAAGAAATTTAACAAATAATTTCGAAATGTTCAAAATAAAAGTACAGATACAATTGAACAGCCAAAACAAACAATCTGTGTAGAGACACTCCCACCGGTTGTGGCTGTCAGAGTAGTTTCGTAATCTACTGCGCATGCGCTGTATACAGTCAAGAGTAGTGATGGAAATTTTGATTCTTTCAAGAGATTCGTTCATTTTCAGTTCGTTCACCAAAATGATTCGTTCAGATTCGTTCACTGATTCGTTCAGTGACCATTTCTTCATATTACATAAATACGCCAGCATGTGGCGAAAAAGAGTCAACGAACGTATTCACTTACTACCCAAAAAGATTCGTTCAAAAAGAACAATTCGTTCACGAACGTAACGACACTAAGTCAGAGGGGCGACGCAACGGTCTTCCCTCAAGAACGGATCAAAACAGACGCTTTACATTAGATTCTGGAGACTTTGTTGTTATTTATGACAACATTTATAACAACAAGCTTCACAACACCGAGGAGACTGAAACACAAGGAAAAATAAACCAGACTGAACCGAAACTAGTAACACAGTTACGCTGTCAGACACCGACTACTGACTACTCGAGGTAAAATATTCAGACTATTTTTATGGCATAAAATCGAGATCCTTAAGTTACAGTGTTGCTGTAGTTAACACAATTATTTCCATAGCCATATGAGTATAGCCAACGGCATAGCAGATGATGACGTCACGGTAAAGATGTGTCACGCTGAACATTAGGGACATTTCATTTTGTGTCGAAATTTTGTGATGTAGCTGATATATGCACCTTCTGTAAAAAAGAAAGTGAAGATATTTGTCATTTATTTTTCTCTTGTAATGTTTCATCTCTTTTCTGGAAAGATTTGAGTTCCTATTGTTTTTCTAAAGTTAATATGAACTGTAATTTACACATTAAGGATGTTGTTTGCTTTTTTGAAAACCAAAACAAATCTTTAGAATCTACTGTTAACTTTCTTATCCTTGTGGCAAAATTCTATTTTCACAAACAAAGGTTTCTTAAGAAAATACCTACTTTTATAGATTTCTTATGTGAAGTAGAACATTTAATTAAATCACTAAGAGTAATTAACAAAAAATGTATTTCTTTTTTTGAAGAGATATGATGAGATCTTTCATGTACCGTGATTAATACTTTTTTTTTTTTAAATCCTCTTTTCTTTATTTGTTCTGTTCCTGCCTTTCTTTATGTTCATATAAAAGCTATTTAAATGCAAAAACAAAACAAAAAAACATTAGGGAAATTTCCATATGTATTCCATATACATATTTCCATATGTATAGGTTTCTGCATAGCTCAATGCTAATAATAACAATTTATTATACTGTGTTATTTATAATTTGCTGTTTGTTACTGCAACAAAACTTACCAGGGTAATACCATATTTATTTTGGATATGTGCCAGTTATTTTTTACAGTACATGCCCCATGGTATTTTGGGAAGTACCTTGGAGTTTATGTACATACCATGGTACACAAATATGCTAATCATTTAGTACTTAGTATTTAGAAAAACATTGTGTTTTATTACCATTTGATGCTACCCTACTTTCAATATGGGTAAATAACTTCAATAAATGCCATTTCACTTAATATCCACCTATTAAATGTCTAACATGTGATGACAGCACTGATAATAAGTCAAGTTTTCCATTCAAGAGTCTCCATTGTTCCTCCCACACAGAATTGCACAGTGATTCCTCACACACCTCCTCTCGTGTTCAAGGTTTCTGTTTAAATTACTGTAGCCTACAGCTCATTCTGCTCAAGCGCACACACACCCTTCTGCATGAAAACAACACCTATCAATCACACTACTGTATAACTCACACTTAAAGTAAGATTATACACTAAACATATTATTTTTATTATGATTATATGCATAGTACAAAGTATAACTGGTTAGCCACTTAAATAAACTGATATAATGATAACACTTTACAATAAGGTTCCATTTGTTCACATAAACTAACAATGAAAAATACTTCTGAAGAATTGATTAAACTCAGTTAATGTTAATTTCAACATTTGCTAATACATTTTTCAAATCAAAAGTTTTATCTGCTAAAATTATTTAAACAACCCGAGATAACACAAACTAAAATTTATGAGATTAATAAGCACTGTATCAAATGTATTGTTCATTTTAGTTAATGCATTAACTAATGCTAACTAATGAGACCTTGTTGTAAAGTGTTACCATTCTAATTACATTTATTTGTTTGAATTCATTCCAGGTGATGTGGAGCTTAAAATTGTATTGTATAAAATATATAATATAGAGATAACTCTAATAGGCTGAATATATACATATTCAATAGACTCATATACACAACATACACTAATTTAAATAAATGAATTGCCTTAGAGAGACTTAAGTAATCTGTGTGAGCAGTTATGTTGCAACTAGTTGCAAGTTGACTTAAGATGTGCAGTTACAATAGTATTGTATTCAGTTGTTCATTTAAATTAAATAGGCTTTAAAAAACAAACAAAAAGCAGTTTATTATTATTTTTATTTTTATTAAACTACTATTCATAATGAAACAACATCAGCAACACTAAAAAAAAGCCATTATTGATTCTGAACTAAACACATTGTCATTCTTTACAGTAGCTACAGAACCGGTCGGATTCAATCAGAATGTGTTCTGACAAGTTAGGTTGATTAAACAAATAAGTAGCGTGGGAAACTAAAACTTACTCTGTCACATTATTTTCAACCAGTACAGGTGCTAACAACTAGCCCTAATAAATTAAATCAATAATATACTGTATATCTGTCTGTATATATAAGTACATATTGCAGTTTGGCCTATTTAAATAGTAGTTACAGAGGCCACAGCATGCGATGCTATCAAGCACAAAGAGAAATACAGAAACCACTGGATTGTTCCTAATATGACTGTCTACCAGTTTGTGGCATAGAACATGCTGTTATTTCAAATGCTTTCAGTTCTCATGGCACATTCATCAAGTTTCCATGTAATGTTTCCATGTAAACAGATCAGTCCAATGGCAGTTTCGTGTGTGACCAAGGTGGAGCTGACAGTCTCCTGTGAAAACCTGCTGGACACGGATGTGGGGTCCAAATCTGACCCGCTGTGTATCCTGCTCATGAACACATCTGGAAACCAGTGGTTTGAGGTCAGTTCAACTGTTGTTTGTTGTGCATACTGTTCAAATGTATATGTGAAAATGCTTGTTTTGGAATCTGAAAGTGTTTTGTTTCGTAGGTCGATCGCACTGAGAGGGTTAAGAACTGCTTAAGCCCAAAATTTGCCAAGAAGTTTGTTGTCGATTACTACTTTGAGGTCGTTCAGAAGCTCAGATTCGGCCTTTACGATATTGATAATAAAACCATTGATTTGAGCGATGATGACTTCCTTGGCGAGTTCGAGTGCTCATTGGGTCAGGTAAGACCACCAAAGATCGAAAACATCCATGTTTTGAATTCATTTTTCCTGCATGATTGTCTGATGTGTTTTTTTTATTTATTTCTACACAGATTGTTTCTAGTAGCAAGCTGACAAGACCTTTGGTGCTGAAGAACAAGAAACCTGCAGGAAAGGGAACGATTACGGTGAAAGTCCATGATATTTCACATCATATTTACTTGAGATGTGGTTGCTTGAGAATAATATTTTTCCATAAAGTTGTTGTGGCATAAAGAACATCAGCTTATTGTGGATGGTGATGGACTTATATATATAATATTTAATATAATAAAATATAATATTTAATATCTCTATTTAGTATTTAGTAATATTTTTACATTTTTTAAAGTCTCTTACTCTCACCAAGGCTGCATTTATCTGGTCAAAAATACAGTAAAAACAGTAATATTGTGAAATATTATTACAATTTAGAATAACTGCTTTTTTTCATGATTACTAATAACTATTTTTTTCATGATTCTTTGATGACTAGATTAAAAAATAGCATTTATTTAAAATATAAATATTTAATAACCCTTACTGTCACTTTTGATCAATTTAATGCATCCTTGCTCAATAAAACAGTTATAAAATATTGATCACCACTTTAAGATGTCTGTCAACTGATTAGAATCAAGAATGCACTATTGCCGTGTTATAACAGCAGATATTTGTATATTTATATTCACTTCAGATCAGTGCAGAGGAAATCAAGGACAACAGAGTTGTGAATTTTGAGGCGGAGGCTAGAAAACTGGACAATAAGGTAAGACATGAGATGTGAGTTTGTGAATTTGCTTTACATTTACACTGTGAAATGCATTCAGTGTTTTTGGGTTTCCTTGCAGGATTTCTTTGGAAAATCAGACCCCTACCTGGAATTTTACAGGCAGACGGAAACAGGCTGGCAGCTTGCTCACAGAACTGAGGTGCATTGTGTGTTGTGTGTTTGCATGTAGATGTGGAGTATTAGCTACAACAGAGGGTGCTTAAAGATAAATGAAGGTCTTACAGAATTATTATTTTTGGGTGAACTATCCCTTTAATGGCTATCTTTCATACCAGGTGGTGAAGAATAACTTGAATCCTTGCTGGAGGCCTTTTAAAATCCCTCTACGATCTCTCTGTGCAGGAGACATGGAGAAACCAATCAAGGTAGAGTCTGTGTTCATTG